ATTGCAATCACGTTACAATCAATAAAGAAAATTACATTACTGTGTTTTCCACTTGACAAAAAAAAATTATTTATCATCGTTACCCTAATTCTCTTCTATCCCTTTTTTTAATGGTCATAACCTTTTTACTTAATGTTTGTGATGAGTTAAATATGTGTTAAACAACTGGAATTGAGGGAGAATGCATTTTGCTCATTTGGTTTCAATTTAAATATTTATTACCCGTGGTTCAGAAACAAATTATAATTCATTATGCAAAATGAAAATTTTTCACAAATTATGGGTACCCAACAAAGGAATTAATTTTATATATTAATATAAAAAAACAGAAAATGGTGTACAAATAGCATGCAAGTTGGCAACCCTCTTTGAATTATAGCATTTTGTTTGGTATTGTTCTAGGCCATTGACAGAAGTCTTGAGTCCCACCCACAAGACCACAAATGATCAATCATTCTTGTGGAGAAAGAGGGATTCTCATAAAGAATATATAGTGTACTCACCATGGTACTAGAGTTTACTGAGAGACTCAGACTTTGGTTGTTGAAATCAAAGCTTCAAACTTACATTATTTTGAATTATTGGCTTCTTGGTGTGGGTATTATGAGCTTTTTTTTTTCCCCTTTAAAATAGAAAAAAAGAAGGTTATAACTATTAAAGCCAAAAGGAAAACTAAAATTTTGTATGATTGCTGTTGCTATTATTAATTGTTATTTTTTAGATTATTTTTTTATACAATAATGAAAATTTTTTAAATGTCACAACACGATTAAGAAATTGATCCGCGCTCATTTAATAATTGATTAATTTATTAATTTTTATCAATATATCTTATTAAAACAGCTGTCAATCCTTTAGCTCCGTTGTTGAAATCTAAAACTCCGTCGCCAATATATAAGATGATTTTTTTTTTCATTTTGTTTTTGCATTTATTTTCTTATTTCCATAAGATTTGATTATCAAGTAAAAAACAAAAGAAAAAGTTGATATATATAGTATTAGTTTGATTTGTAAATGAGCAAATGCTAAAAGGTATTAATGTTCTTTTTTATGTATAAATTATAATTTGTAAATTTGTACTTGATAGATAATTATTTGTATTAATGGAAGTCTCCAAGTGAAATCTAATAAAAGCAAGAATCGTTTTCCATGCTCCATGATTAAGATTTATGAAAATGTCAAACATATGAAAAAGGGACAATGAGTATTATGATGAAGTCACTAACCTTACACTTCATTAATTTGGGATTCATTAATGCTCAAATGTTCACATATACCCATGCTTCAATGCCATGTAAGAGTGCATTCTATGCATCACTAAATACACAAATTTAATCCTAAATTTGCTTTAGTTTCATACATTTCCTTTTAAAAGTTTTTCCCTAGTATCAAAAAAATATTTTTAATAAGTCTTTTCTTTCAAGTCAAGATTCGATAAATTAAGATATCACACGTAATTAAATATTATCACATAAATATGCAACTATTTAATAAAAATTTTCATGTTGCATGAAAAAAATTATTAAAGTGTAATATTTAAAAAAAATTAAATTATTTAAAAAAATCAAATAAACCCTTATTCTTTTATTAATTCAATTGAGTATTTATGTTTGATGTGGTGTATTAATAAGGTGTGATGACATTGTTATCTGATATTTTTACCATTCATATCAACGTCATATGACTATAAAATAATAAGTGTCATTTTACTAATGATAATTAGTCAATTATTAGTTATAATGGATTATTTACCTTAAAATAAAAATACAAAAATATGATTGAACATAGTAGAATAATAAAGACTTAAATGAATTTTTTTAAATAATTTAAAAGTTTTTCAAATATTATATTCAAGTAAATTTTAAAAAAAAAACATACTTATGTGGCAATGGTAAGAAAGACGAATATATAATGATTTTTTATTTTAAAAATAAAATTCGAATCTAAATTTTTGAGGTGAGTGATACATGTAATTACTTCTAAACTAAATATTCAAATTGTATTTAGATAATTTTTAATTATATGATAAGCAAACAAAACAAATGACAGTATACTTTTCCAAAAGAGAAAAAAAGTTGTCATTATGAAAGTCAACAATTCAAAGCTGATCAGTCTACAACGTAATTGCATGATTACATTAAAAAAAAATTATTTAGTTATTTAGTCCCAAAATGCATTGATTTGATAAATATTTATGAATGTGTGGTATTGACATAATATAAAGTCAACAAATTCAAAGTGCAATTAGAAAAAGGTAGTAATTGTAAGTCCCACATAATATTCTTGATTTGGACTTTATGGATTAATTAGTAAAATGCCGGATGTTTCTCCCATTTTTGATGCAAGGGTCACACTCACCCCATTCAAAGACAACAAACACTTAATTAATTCTAAGCACGCCCCCTACTTTTTTTGCTTCTTTTTTTTTTTCTATGTTGGCATGAACCTATTTAATCTCACTACATTTACTTTACTTTCTTCTTTAATACAAAAAGCCTGGTTACTCGTGTTATGCATGGGCCCATCGCTTGCTCCAAGTTATTTGTGTTACGACTAGGTTCATCGTCCATGTTTTTAATCTAAAAAATATATTATTTAGATAAAGAAAAGTTCATATTTATTTGGCTTTTGAGGTTTATTTTGATACTATTTGTTACAGATTTAAGTTTTTAATTTAAAAAATATATTTCATAAGTAGAAAAAGATCTTTATTTATAAACTTAAAAATCATCTTATTTTTTACTATTGTAAAATTCGTGACAACTTGAATTTAGTACCAAATTAATAACACATACTGTAAACTAATTTAGTCACATTATGTTATTCATTTAAAACAAAAGTGGATTGAATTTAGTCACATTAATGATTTAAATAAATTGATGCTTTTGGTCACACAAAAAGGTAAATAATTATTCCCTCTATCACTTTAAACCTAACAAGAGAGAATGAGACATGACACATTATTAAGAATATCATCAATGTCATCACATCTTTTGTTTTATCAATATAGGCATTATTTACTATTGTTGTTAATATATTGTTACACTTTTTTTTTTTGGAAAGAAATAAGTTGAATACTTCTTTTATATAAGTTAATATGACGATTAAAATAATTTTGAGTTTTTTTTATATTCATTAAAGTTTTTAATACTCTCTGATTTTTTAAATTTGATCATGTTTATATTGAAATTTGAATTTAAAATCTTGAGAGTCAAAACTTAGATTTTAACCATTGAAATGCCCAACTTTTGTAATAATTTTGATTTAATTATTATGATTTATTGAATTTACAAGTGTGATGGTAGAAAATATTTATGTAGTTGTAATTTATTTGAAAATTGTGTTACGGATAGAGCTTAAGGATTATCATCATGTCATAGGTAAAGAGAAGTGATTAGAGAAAAGTTATTAAAGTTAAAAGAGTATTTAGTCAAACCATAGTAATTAGAACCTTACCTTCAAATAATTACTTAACCAATATTAAGGACGACAATTGATCAGGTACTCGACTCGATTATATAGGGTACATGTACCTTACTTTCGAGTTTTAAATGGACATGGGTAGCAAGTTTACTATCCGTTTCAAGTTTAGGTAGGATATGGGTATCATCCGTTGGATACCTAATATCCTATAATGTTAATGTCAAGGTATTATCAGGTATTTGTACCCAATACCCATATACACATATTTCAATCTTATTTATATAAGTATAATTATTTTTAAATTTTAATATTTATTTACTTTTATAAATTTAATTATTAATGAATTGCATAGAAGTGAAATATAATTAGTATCGAATAGTGTTCGAGTAATTAGATAGTCATGAAAAGATTAATAAATTTGTTTTGCACAATCAAGTATTTAGATAAGTTCGGATGATTAAAGGGTAGTGAATAAGATATTAGGATTTGGGCGAAAAATTTAAAAAGTAACCCAGTAATAATAGGGTTCATGTACCTACTTATTGATAAGGTTTTTACCGGATACCTTACTTGTTTGACAACCCTAACGAATACTAATAAACATTGAGGAAGCATTTGACATATTAATGCAATAAAAAAAAGGAAGGATTATTCCATCATAAGTTATAACCCATATAAGGAATGCCCAAATCAAGGAGATCACACCAAAGTGAAGTCAACTTCATTGGTTAGAAATAGCTTTATTCCCTTACTATTATTAAATTTAGGCCTAATTTACTCTTTCTCTTCATGATTTAAAGTTTAATTTACTACTCCATTAGGGCTCTCATTTAAATTTAACTATGACTTCATTGGGAAACTAGACAGTCTCAATGGGGCCTTCTTTATGTTCCAACTATTTTCTTTCTCAAAAGTTTATTGGGATTCAAGTTAAATCAAAGGGAAATGCATACCCCTACCCTTAATTGACATTTGACATGCCACTGCAACTTTTTCCTTTTCGTGTTTTTTTATGAAAAATAAATTTAATATTATTTGTTATTAGTTAAAAAGAGGCATATATAGTTATCCATATTATATGATATTTTATATTAAAAAATAAACATAATTTTGAGTTAAAACTATAGGAGAGGATGTGAATCATAATTCAGAGTCACATAGAAGACTCAAACCTAAAGTTGTTTATTATAAAATTGACAAATTAATAAAGTGAACCTTAAGGGATATAAGATTGTTATTTATACTTAAATAATAGTTAAAAAATTATGAATTAAAAAAAAAAAGGAGGGGGAGGAGGGAGACACATGCGAAGAAATAATGATTTAGGACCGAATCTGACATGGCAAGAAGTGTGGGACACCACAGCCCAACGTTTTGACCGAAAAACGGAGTTGAATTTCCCAAATGACCCTCGAAGCCTTAAGTCATGTCACTTTCCACGATATAGCGCGAACCCGTTTTGACTGCGTTCGGGCAACGGTCAGCACCGTTCGGTCACCTCTCTTACTGCACGCTTCACTCTCCCAACAAAAATATAAAAAAAATGATAGCATAAAATTAAATTAAAAAAACAAATCTTTTTCTCTCTCTCTCTCTCTGAGGCTCGCTCTTTCACTTAACTTAGAAAGAGAAACACAAAAGGGAAAGTTCATTTCTTTTTAATTTTGTTTTATTTTTTTGAAGTTGCTGAAAGGAAAAGGTTTGAAAAAAGAAACGATTTTTGGTTTGGGGTTTTTTTTTTTCTTTGTATTTATGTTTTTGTTGGTTGCCTTTTATGGGGCATGCTTTTCAATGGAGGGGAATGGGATCAAAGCAAGGGATTTGATTGAGGAGATTTTTGGGCGGTAATGGTGGGATTTGAGAGCTAGGGTTTTTGGGTTTTTGTTGTAATGTTGTGTTGTTGGGGTCTTCTTTATTGTTTGGATCTAAGGATATTTAGATTGAGAAGCTCAAAAGGTTAAAAAAAAAAGTTTCAGCTTTTTTTTTTCTTTGGGTTTGTCAAATGGAAGGAGGAACCAAAAAGGTTAAGTCTTTGGCTTTGGTTTGGTTGATCTTTGCGCTGCTGCATCGTCTGTGGCTTATTTCTGCTAATGTGGAAGGTGATAATATTTTTTACTTTTTTTTTTCGTTTTTCTATCTGTTTCTTGCAGCAACCCATTTTTGTTCTTTGTGTGTTCAATTGTTTTAGGAGTTCGATCCTTACTTTTTTGTAACATTTGTTGGTTTTTTTTCTTCTTTTCGCAAAATGGATTTCTGATATGTTGTTATATCATTTGGTTTTTTTGTTTGAAAATGAGTGTGCTTTAATTAGAATATATACTTGCTTTCCTGATGATTGGAGTATAATTTTCCTTTTCTTTTGTGTTTTGCTTTTGGAAGATTACATTAGAAGTGCTTATTTTGGTTCTATGGATTCTGATCCTTGTCGTAAATCAGATACTATTATATAATATAGTTTTACAATTTGTGACTTTTGTTATAATGGATATATGGATGATATGAGAATATGTGTTAGGAAAATGCTTTTTCTGGGATGCCTTTGTCAAATGTTCAGATTATGACATATAATTGTTCACATCAGTTGCGTACTTTCAAGTACAAAAAATGTTGACTTGACGATACTGTAGGAATCATGCTGCTTCGCACAATTTGAATTGTTTTTTTACATGCCTTGCTGGTTTATTAACAGATCTATTATGTTCATGAAGTCATTCAACTCACACAGTTTACTGAAAAAGAATTTTCTGTCATTTTTTTTCTACTTTTGGTCAAGTATTGATCAAATGGATAATTTTGGAACTTTTTTTTATTTACATTTGACTCCTCATACCGTAAAATTTATAAAATTTTGTTGTTGGAACTGTTTAAGTATGATAAAGTTGATATCATTTACTGTTTCCTGTGGAACTGTTTAAGCATATGCAAGCAACAATGTTTTCTGCTTGTTAAATTACCTGCTAAAGCTTCTGTCGGGTGGAAATTAGTATGCTTCCTGAATGTAGCTGGTTTGGTTTTGCTATATATACTTTAACATATGCATTATTAATTAATGTCAACCTCTTACCATCTTTACTTTCTTCTTGAAACAGGTGATGCATTGCACAGCCTAAGGACCAATTTGAATGATCCTAACAATGTCCTGCAGAGTTGGGATCCTACCCTTGTCAACCCCTGCACATGGTTTCATGTTACATGTAACAATGATAATAGTGTCATTAGAGTGTAAGCATTTTCCCTCGTTGATGTCTTCTAAGTGGTTATAACTTGAAATATATGTTTTACTGATTTTGCAAAGGATTACTTGTGTAATGTCTATTTCTGTGTCATTTTTCAGTGATCTTGGCAATGCAGCTTTGTCTGGTCAGCTCGTACCACAGCTTGGCTTGCTCAAGAATTTGCAGTACTTGTAATTCATGCTTTGCCTTGATAGTTCTAGCTGTTCTCCATTTGTATAATTGGTCTACGATTTTATGTGCTTTCTTCTGAGTAAACAACCATATGCTATTGCTAACTTGCCCCATGTTAACAAAAGGAAGAATTGGTTCACAATAAGGATTGTTGCATTAAATAAGCTTCATTATTTACTTCGGCAAGAGGTAGTGGTTTAGGGTCACAGCCTCTTCATGTAGTTTATCAGATGTGTTTTACATATTCAATTTATATTTTTGAGAAAGGGCTAACCTATAATTCCTCTACATGGTACAATGGCAGTCTTCTTTTGCCTGTGGAATAAAGATAAAAATTCAAAGCGTAAAATACCCTGACCCTCCTTAAGTTTTGATTGAAATTACACGGAGGTTCATTAGTTTTTGAAATGGACGCTTCGCCCTAAAAAAAAATTTTTTGCTGGACATGTAGGTCCAGCCGTTAGTATTTCTGTCAACTTGCTAATGTGGTAAGGGTAAAAAGACAATTTTACTCTTGATTAATTTTTATAATTACAATTATATAATTTTATTATTTTATTATTAATTAGAAAAAAGCTCTCCATTGGGGATCACCGGAGCTCCCCTAGGGAGCCCTGATTGGTGCTCCTTATTCTTTCTATCTTTTAAAAATATAATAATAATTTTTAAATTAACAAAAAAAGAAAGGGCATTTAAGTCTTTTTATTATTTTTGTTAATGTTGGTTGTAGCTTTGGGGCGGAATGTCCATTTCGAAATCTAATGTATTTCCGAGTAATTTCAGTCAAAACTTAAGGGGGTCAGGGTATTTTACACAAATTTAAAATTGTTGATTCTGTTGGACTGGTTGCTGAAATCACTCTGTCAATGAGTAACTGTAGTAGGGACTTATTTATTTAATATGGGGTTGGTCATGTTGGCTACCTCCAGATTGAGGCACACCATTTGTGATGAACAAAAAAATTGTCTTTCCATGTGGAGTCTAATTATGATCTTCTTGTTTAGGGTATGGTAAAGTTTTAAAAGATGCTTTGCTAAACAAGGGTTTTCCATCAGCTTTGTAAACAGCTATCGACTAGGATTAGAAAGTTTGCAGTGTATATCTACTAACTGGAAATAGGTTCACTTGTCAAAATGAGGTGTCCATCTTGCGCAATCCTATAGATGATGTGTAGAGGAATTAACATGCATTGTGGAGCTAGTTTATATTTTACTTTTGAGCCTGTCATGCCTTCTTGTCTAGTTATTGAGCTGGTCTTTCCGGTGGGCTTTGTGGGAGGATAGATAGTACTATAACAATGATCTTATGTCCTTTTTGAATTGGTGGTTTGTTTACCTTGAACATTACAAGGGAACAATTTTCATACCGTATGAGGGGTTTCCGGGGAAAGTCTTCCAAGTTCTTATAGACTTTGAATAAAACAGGTTCATCCAAATCCAAGTATTAGGTTGTTATCGTACAGTTTACTTGTCTTAGTATTCCATTACATTTCTTATGCTCATAGAGATGTATATTTTTATGCCAGGGAACTTTATAGTAACAACATAAGTGGACAAATTCCTAGTGATCTTGGGAATTTGACTAGCTTGGTGAGCTTGGATCTGTATTTGAATAGTTTCAGTGGTCCTATTCCAGAGTCTTTGGGCAGGCTGTCAAAATTGCGATTCCTGTAAGTATATTTGCTTTGCAGCTTCCTTTTTTGGTACAACAACTGATTTATTACATGTTGAATTGCACGTCATACCAAGAATCTAAGTTTTTATTTTTAGAATCATGTACCTGGTACACAAATTGAGCTATACTTAAACAAGTAGAAACAAGTTATTTAGTAGTATTTGGTATTAAGTAAATAATCGAGTACAAGATGTTAAACCCTCTCTTTAGTATTCAGAAAGAATATTTTGATATTGTGTATAGCACATACAAGTTCATTGCATTGCATTTCTTCATCAATTATAACTGTCTGGTCAAATTTTCAGTGCATATTGTTTAGTTAAAATTTCAGTTTAAAAGTAATCCTGGAGGAGTTGAAACTACTTTGACATTTAAAAGCTAATACAACAATTTCCACGGTTAATTTCAACCTTTAAATATGAGTCTGCAAGTACAGCATTTTGTATATTTCCAAACATCACTCACAACTACGCATGAAACTGGTTGAGCAAGTGATGCTTAAAACAAAGAGCTTTTCATGTTTAAGTGTGTTTATATACAGCTGGTGTAGGGGAAAGTTTGCTTGATATAATCTTCATCAGTTTAGATCTTAACTTCTTTTCTTGTTGAAATGTTTTGTGTGAGGATAGCCGGCTTAATAACAACAGCTTGAGCGGTCCGATTCCTATGTCATTAACTAATATCACGTCACTTCAAGTACTGTGAGTGCCAACCTTACCTTTTATGTCAAGATCCTTTACTCTGCCCCCTTTTTTTCTTCTGAGACATCATAATGATTGCAAAAGTTGTGTATTCTCAAATTGCACTGTTAAATGCAGGGATCTATCTAATAATCGTCTATCTGGGGAGGTTCCTGATAATGGCTCCTTCTCACTATTCACTCCCATCAGGTTATATTTTTGTGATTTGAATGCTGCTTTTTGGCTGACGAAATTTGGGTATCATGCTTAGTTGTTTGTTGTTCCATATGCAGTTTTGCTAACAACTTGGATCTGTGCGGCCCGGTTACCGGTCGCCCTTGCCCGGGATCTCCTCCTTTTTCTCCTCCTCCTCCTTTTGTTCCACCACCGCCAATTTCTTCACCAAGTAATCTTCCTTTCATGTCATAGATTTAGAATCTATTGAACTGCCTTTTATGGGTTTTCTGTGTAGTAAATTTTTTTACTACTCTCGTTGTCATGTAGACTGTTTTAGTTCCATTTGACAATTTATAATTTGCCAATCTCTGCTTAGCATTTTATTCCCACTATATTCTGTAATATCGTGGCTTGCACAAATCAGCAAATGAGCTGAAAGTAATGTCCCTGCCCTTCTGGGCGAATACCGAAGTTTGCACATCCAGTGCTTTAGTTCCATAAGTGAATGAACTGTATCATTATGAACTTTGATTCTGATGAGATGTAATTAACAATAGTGCCTTTCAATGAAGACTTTTGTTTATTTGGAAATTGCCTCTGATTTTATGCGTTATCTTGGTTGTTCTGGTGCAAAAAGATGTTTTGTGGTAACTCATGGTTAGTGCAAAGGAAGTAGCTATTATGCTTTGCTTTGGGCATTCTAATTTTTTTACATCATATCATATTTTAGGCGGGAATAGTGTCACTGGTGCAATAGCTGGAGGAGTTGCAGCAGGTGCTGCCTTATTGTTTGCTGCTCCTGCAATTGCATTTGCATGGTGGCGTCGGCGGAAACCTCAGGAATTTTTCTTTGACGTACCTGGTTAGTGCTATAAATGAAATTTCACTGGTTGAAGGGTTCAAGTTTGGGTAATAGTTACAAATTCACCAGTTTAAATTACATCTATTTGCAGCGGAGGAGGATCCAGAAGTCCATCTGGGGCAGCTTAAGAGGTTTTCCCTGCGAGAACTACAAGTTGCCACTGACAGTTTTAGTAACAAAAACATTCTGGGTAGAGGTGGATTTGGTAAGGTTTACAAAGGACGGTTAGCTGATGGTTCACTGGTGGCTGTGAAAAGATTGAAAGAAGAGCGTACACCTGGTGGAGAGTTACAGTTTCAAACAGAGGTGGAGATGATCAGTATGGCTGTGCATCGGAATCTCCTCAGGCTTCGTGGGTTTTGTATGACTCCAACTGAACGGTTGCTTGTTTATTCCTACATGGCTAATGGAAGTGTTGCATCATGGCTAAGAGGTGAAGCCCACAAGCATTTGTGCACCAATTTCTCAATTTTCTTTTTTTTGGGGGGGGAATGGGGGGTGGTGGGTGGGGGATTCATTTATTGAAATTGTTATGATTAGAATCAGTGCAAGATATAATTTTGCTTTTGATCTTGAGTATAGTTTCTTGTTTTCTTGATGCATTCTTGCAGAACGCCCTCCATCACAACCTCCACTTGATTGGCCAACACGGAAGAGAATTGCATTGGGATCTGCTAGAGGTCTTTCTTATTTGCATGATCATTGTGACCCAAAGATTTCATCGTGATGTGAAAGCTGCAAATATTTTGTTGGATGAAGAGTTTGAAGCTGTTGTTGGTGACTTTGGGTTGGCAAAACTTATGGACTATAAGGATACCCATGTAACCACTGCTGTACGTGGCACAATTGGACATATTGCTCCAGAGTATCTTTCTACTGGCAAATCTTCAGAGAAAACTGATGTTTTTGGTTATGGGATCATGCTTCTGGAGCTTATCACTGGACAGCGGGCCTTTGATCTTGCTCGGCTTGCAAATGACGATGATGTCATGTTGCTTGATTGGGTATGCACATGATATTTTCTTTTGACTATCTTAGTCATCACACTGATTTGCTTACTCTGTTCCCTTATCTGCTTTAATGCTAATTTAGCTACTGATCAGTTTTTGCCTTGATTCCTGCCTGATTCTCAATATTATTCATGTCTTGACCCTTGGGTTATGTGAAAACTCATTGGATTGATCCTAGTTCAAATTCCGATGCCCTGCAGAATGATAAAACACACTAGGATAGCCTAGCTGGTAAAAGCCTTGAACCTGTTTATTTGTATGCAAGAGAAATGAATCTTCCTAAAAGTCAAGAAACAGTTGTATCTTTATTTAGGCTTTGCATACTTGAGTTGCAATGCGACAGCTATGGAAAGGTCCATAAAATAAAGTTGCTTAGGAAAATTATGAGGTAGCTAGAACTATTCCTTCTTGGCAATAGATGCCAGAAGGAAGTGTTGTCTTTAGACAGCTGGCAAAGTTCTTGTGAGGGGTTCATGCTTGCTTAAATAAATAAATGGAACAATAGGTTCGTGGTCTGCTTCCTCTTAGCTGATTCAGTTGACTATTATTCTTTCAGGTCAAAGGACTTCTGAAGGAGAAGAAGTTGGAAATGCTAGTTGATCCTGATCTACAGAACAATTATGTAGAATCTGAGGTAGAGCAGTTAATCCAGGTTGCTTTGCTATGCACACAAGGTTCCCCAATGGACCGGCCGAAGATGTCAGAAGTAGTGAGGATGCTTGAAGGAGATGGGTTGGCTGAGAGGTGGGATGAGTGGCAAAAGGTCGAAGTTCTCCGGCAGGAGGTGGAACTTGCCCCTCATCCTAATTCTGACTGGATCGTTGACTCGACTGACAATCTGCATGCGGTTGAGTTATCCGGTCCAAGGTGACATGGCATAGCTACAGTAAAAAAGAGGGAAAAAGTTTTTACTAGCTATTTTTTATGATAATTTTTTTTCTTTTTTATTTAATGACACCATATCCTGATTTATGTCTCCTGTAAGCCCAATTCCGCATTGTATTCATTACATTTGTGCATATGAGTCAGCTTTGTTGAGGTGCAATTTGTATCTTTCTGCTGCAGTTTGAACTGAGCCCCCTGATGTTTCAAAAACAGTAGCAGCTGTGGCGGCCTAACCCATATTTGCACTTCATGTTCCTCCTAGTATTAATTCTTCCAAACAGTTTGTGGCATGCCAAAGGGGGTCTTGGGGTATACCATTGCATGCAATTTTCTAGGGGATTTAATTTCCCCTTTTTCTTTGAATGGCAGCACATGTTTATAGCTTGCACGGTTTAAACTTTGTTCTACTTGTATTTTGTAATCACTAGTTGCAACACCTGCCTCATGGGGCTCGGCATTCCCCCCCTTTTCTTTTCTAATGCATGCCTCACTGCCATTCAATAATTGGGAGTAATTTCCATTACCCTTTCTTAGGAAATTTCTGTGTGGTACGTTTTGATAGTTTTAACAGTTGAAAACAAAGTACAAATCTGTAAACACCAGTTGATTTCTCAAAGCTTCTCAACTTAAAGGCGCGGGAGAGCCCCTCGCGCGGGGCGGGCCCCCCCAGGCCGGGGCGCGCGCCCCTCACGGGCGCCGGCGGCCCGGCGCGCGCCAGTCGCGACGCGGGCCCGCCCGGCGGCCTGCCGCCTGCCCCCCCGCTTCGGGGCAGCTTATGGTTCTTATGCACAACGCAAGAGTTCCAAAGGACAAGCCATGATACACAACTTACACTCGAGAAACTTGATAACCTCAATACTTTACAAATGATAATGATAACAATGATAAAACGATGAATACCATATAGTAAAACGGTCGGAAATCAAATCCACTCAAAGGAAAGGCCTAAAGATAATAAGATGAACAAGAGGGAGGGTAAGCTTAGTAATGAGTATGGGAATTATCTTTAAAAGAACCACCAGAGCCAAGGTCTGACTTCTGTGACGAAAAAAGGTTTGGATATGAAAAGTATTCATCATCCATAGAAGGCAACCTCTGCGGCTGCTTTTGAGGGTGGTCTCCTTCAAGAGCATGATCACTGGAAACTGGTGAATCAAAACCCAATTTGAGTTTGTCAAGTGAAAGAAGATTTGCTACCTCTGATCCTTGGTGCTCCTGGTCACGACGGGAGCCTGGAGAGTATAAAACTTTGGCTGGATCACTAAACGAGTTTTGGTGATCAAAATTGGGCTTCTCTGTATTAGGTGGTTGATGAGGAACATCTGTATGGAAACGGTTCTCAGAGCTGCTTCGCTCAGTGACCTGGTCCTTTTTCTGTGTAAGTTCAGCAATTCGGACCTGTGCAAGACTTGCTGCTGATCGAGCTGCAGCTGCCGCACGCTCAGCAGTTTCAGCAGCTGCCTGAGCAGCAGCTAAAACATCCTGTAAGTCAACATTGGCCTCATTTTCTGTTTTTGAAATAGCAGATGGTGGATTGCTTGGTCTTGCAGAAATTGATGAAGATACTGATGGAGGAGAAATGAATGGCAGAAACTGTTTATTTTCTTTGGCTCCAGCTGGATCATTGGGCATTTCATTTCCTTTAGTGATTGAACTTTCTTGCATCACTGTCTCATGTTCCAAAGGTGACATTTGTGACACATATCCAGGAGCTCCAGAATGTCTACATGATCCATTATCAATTTCAGGGTCTGGAGCAGCTGCTGAGGGTGGACTAATTGCTGGTGCTGATGCAGCATTTGCACTTGGCCGCAATGACACCTTAGGAACTTCAGGAAAATCTAAGGGCTCAAAATCTGAATCAGAATCAGGCTGCTCATTTTGGGCATGATCAGTGGCAGAATTTAATGTTTCATCATGTTTCTCTGCAGGAAGGGGCAACTTAGACCCACTGACAAACTGTGTTGGGCCATTCTGACAAAGAAAAGGCATGTTTAAAGAGACAGGAACAGAGAACAAGAGTAAACACAGTCTAAAAATTACTTACCAATAAATCTTCATGTGGTTTGAAAAACTCAGTTTCAGTGGAAACTGGATCCCAATCCAATTCATGCTCTTCAGCAATTTCTTTCAGAAGCTTCAACTTTACTTCGGGTGAAGGAGCACGTACAGATAGCAATTCTATCAACTGCATTTAGAATTTACAAAAATGATGTCAACTGGAAGGATAACAATACAAAACGACAATATGCACTCAACCTTAAAACTTATAATACCTGACGATTAACACCACAATCTGGTCTCAGCTCAGTTGCAGCTGATATGAATTCCTTCCCATACTTGGATGCAAATAGCATTTGAACCTGCAGCAACTCTGGTAGATCGGCACATCTAGGTGCAGCAAAACAGACACTAGATATAGCTTCTTTCAAATCTAGAGGACATTCCCTGAAAAAGGATGACTCTTTAAAATTTCATTCTACAAAATGCAGCGTGTTTTTAGCTATTTTTTTGAGCAACTTCAAAATTTTTATAACTTGTCAACTTCTTGTGTAAGGATATAAGAGATGTAAGATCCAAATTAAATAAAGACAGCATTTTGGGCACAATGTCATTCACTAAGCCAACAAAGTTAGTCATAGCAACAAGTGGACAAAATGACAGCATTGTGGTGACCGCTGTAAAAGTGCTTCTAGTGAAGAGCATTAAGTGTAGCTTCTACATTACTGAAGTGACACGTACTAATAACAACCCAGGCTTGATCAAAAACCACTTGAGCTCAAGCAGTGGTGCTAATGCTTCACCTATGCAATTGCAAAAGGCAGCACCAAATTTTAATATTGGCATGGCAATGCCTAGGAGTAAGGTATCATTGCGATTATAGAGAATTTATTGAATCAGACATTCAAAACCATACCAAATATAATACTTTGGCAGTCATGTTTCCATGCCAGTTCACCTACTACCTCCCCCTAGTTTCCGCTCCTTTCTCTATTGCTTTTCCTTTTCATTTCCCACAAAGGAAGTTGGGGTGGTTGTTACTTGTCAGGATGCTGGCTATTTGAACTATAAGAATTACATAACAGTTGTAACCAGCTAAAAAGGCTTATAAAAGCAGAACATTAGGCATCAGTGGCTCATCAAAAGTTATACTCATTTATTGGACCACAATATGTTGAAACACATAAAGGGTAACAAGTCAAGTGTTTCAACAAAATTGATACTTTTAAATCAAAATTTAGAATATGATATTTTTGTTTTAACAACAGAACCTAGGGCTTAAGTTACTCTTCATTTTATTGATGCAATCCTCACACTGAACAATTTGGTCAAACCAATTTTTCACTCTAACTTCCAAAACCCCTTCTACAAATAACTGGCCCCATCCTTCAACCTAAATCTGATATAAAGTTGACATCACCACCTGCTGCATTGCAATTCTGCCTACCAATCTAATCCAGAAACCAAAGCAACTGGAATGCAAATTCAAATTCTCATTGGAGTTAAAAATTTGGAGATCTTCTACATACGATCATGCTCATAGTGCTAGTGATGTTACAGGAAAACCCAAACCGAGTCTTAAAGTGGTGGAGGTGGTAGGATTTAGAGGTTTTAAAATCGCTGTGGATTTTGTTACATATTTACTTGAGTATGGCAAAATGATTGAGAAGATTACAATTAATTGTTGCCATCCAAGTTGGATTGGGCAAATATGGGAGTGTGAGTCAATTAAAGAAAGAGAGGAGGCAAGAATGCATGCGTCACAACTGAAATCAAAAGCACCTGCAACAACAGAATTTGTGGTCGTATAAAATCAAGTCTAATGATATTTGTCATTTAATGTTTATTTATAGCTATTTCAATGTAAATCCTTACGCATGAACTATCTGTTGAATGTGTAAGTCCTGTACAAGTTACTAGTTTTATGGAATGTAGTGCTGTAGCATTTTTCAAAAAAGAAAAAAAAAAGGAAAGAATTAAGGAAAAAATTAAAAAGAAAGCAGAGAGCTAAAGCAATAACCTTTGAGTCTCGATGATAGGAAGACGGACAGCAATAAGCTCACAAAACAGCTCAAGGATCTCCTGAGCAGCCATCATATTCTCTTCCCTTATTATATGCTCCACCTGTAACGTAAATCCAGGCATTGCTTCTTTATAACTATCAACTTCTTTATCAGGAAATATGAACTATCTTCTAAAAAAAGGGCAAAATTCAGATGTCCAAGAACCTACATGCACTTCACTAAATAATATTTAATAAACCAAAATAAATTTCTTTTTTTTTTAAAAAAAAAGTAAGGATATACCCGAATTCGAGCAGTAGCTTCTTGACCAGTCTCAAGAAGCTTGGCAATGTCCCGGCGCATCTGCTTAATCTGAATCTCTCTCCTATTCCTCAGCAACTTAATCCGCGGAATTGTTAACTTGAGTAGAGTTTTGCTGCAGGTTTTCCCACCCAGAAACAATCAATCTTTTAACTTTAAATTAAGCTAAAAGCTTCAAAAAATGGATCAACTAAATAATTACGTAAAGAAACAATCTAAGAGGTTCATCAAAAAGAGAACAAAAACAGCGAAAACAAAATCAAATTACCATTTAGCAGCCTTAAAGCCCTTGCTGAAGAAGGAATCGAGCACGGACATGGCGGAAAATGATGAGATCACAGCAGGAACAGGGTTAGGGAAAAAGAATTTGGAAACAGAGTGAACAGGGTTCAGTATTTATGCAAGGTTGGAAGAGGAGGAAATTAATTCCCGATTAGGATGTCTAATCTGGGATTAACTTTATAATTTTATTGGACGCTATTCGGTTGGATGACGAGGCCGAATTAGACCTGCCCTGCCCAGAAATTAAATCTATTTTATTTTATTTTGATTACGAGGATAAGACGCGTTGTCGTTGCATAAAGCGGCTTGCTTATCGACTAAGGCATTTTTCTTTCTATTATGAATGAAATAAATAAATAAAAATAAATCCAGTTTCCAATCAATAAACGATCTGCTTCTCTTCCTCTACCGTTTTTCGTTCGCTGCGTTGCGTGGGGCCGCGAAACGCTGGCATACTGGGCGCTTACGTCAGACTTGAAGCTGCACTCTCGTTTTCACTTTTCATATTGCTAAAGGTTTTTTTTTTAATTATTTAAAAATTTTAAAATATTTAATTTTATTTCAACTTAAATAATTATTTTTATTAATAGGTGTTGAGTTTTTAATTTTATATCTAATGTAATATGTTAATGCAAATAATGAAGAAAGTAATTGGTTTTATATATTTAAATAGGATAATATTTTAAAAAACATATGATTTCTTGTTAAATGAATAAATTTATTAAACATGATTGGTCATGAAAATTTAATTTGGTAAATCACTTGTGTTTATGGAAACATAATCTTATGTATCAATTATGTAAATAATTCTTGACATTGGGATCATCAGATTATGTTATATATGGATTTTCATATTTTTGATGTCATCTTATGTTGTTATTAACAAGAATGTATAAGTGATTTTCGAGAAATTACTTATTATTTTTATTTTTTATTTTATTTAATTAAGGTTTTATATTTTTATTTTGAGTTAAGTAAGTTTTTAGTTCATCAATTGAAATTAATTAAAATTTCAATTGTTATTTTATACACATGACATTGATTTGGAGAGTAAAAAATATTATTATATCATGTTATTATCTATTATAATATATTAGATACTTTGACAGATTAATCATTAATAATAAAGACTTTTTTGATTGTAAATAAAAGTATAAAGATTTATTTGATTTTAAAATTTTTTAATAATTTATAATCAAAATTTGTGAAAATATGTTATCATTTGTTAATAAAATAATCTTTTAAGAGAGAACTAGGTTGAGTTTGGATTCAAAATCTAGTTCAAACGCAGACAAAAGCCTACAACCTAAGAGAGGCCTCATGGGTCGGGTCAAGCCCGGTTACTATCCTGGGAAGCTCGCGATTGGGCTTGGTCCGATAAGTCCATTTAAATTAAGTTTAGTATTAAAAGATTAAAAATATTAATAACTTAAAAATATTTTGGAGTCAAATTCGACCCAACGGATTCAATCTTTAAAAATAGATAGGTCCAAGATCCGATCTCCGACCCAAGGCTTGACGGGTAACCCAAGCCCGTGCCCTGTTGCCTGTAAGGAAGTATTAATGGTGAGCAAGTGTCCAAAACCCCAGGCAAAACCCTACACCATATTTCCAGTATTCAGCAGAGGAAGGAAATGAGCAAGGCAGGCCACGAAGACGACGAGAAGGGCGAGGTATTCCTCGACGAATCCGATATAATCCACGAAGTCGATGTCGACGAAGAAGGTTTTGCCTCTTCAATACATTTTCTCAGTAATATGTTTCTCTCTTCATATCATTCATTATTGTTATTTGCGCCTGCGTTAATTCAGATCTTCCTGACGCGGACGATGATGATGCCGAAATTGCTGAGGAACCAGATGATTCGATTCACATATTCACCGGTCATACCGGTAAAAATTTTTTGTTTTTCAGCTTTGTTTCTTCTTTTCCTGATGTGGGTGTCTGGCAAAATCTACTCTCGCTCATTTACTTGTTTGATTGAAAGAACTTTTCATGGTAGTTTGAAAGCGATTAACTTTTTGTTGGGACATCGGGTTTATCTGGATTTGAAGTTTCAGTGAAGGGGCAAGCTCAGTTCCTTGAAAGGAATTGTTCATGTTTGCTGGTTGTAATTTGGCATAGTGTTTCTCTTGATGGAAACTTGCTTGTGTGCACATGGACAGAAATGAATCTACCAATGTGGAACCAGGGGATTAGAATCGTGTAAAAGGGTTGTCTCCCATCAGATTATTGGAATTTTGTTCTTGGTTGATTTACATTTTACTACGTAGAAGCACCGGCTTGATAAAGCAATATCTCTCTTGTTTGATATCAAAATTGGACTAATTTTCTGCTCAGTATTTCTTTATCCTTGGAGGATATGTTTCACATTGAATAACTATCATTAAGAGAGTAATCCTCTATTTGGTAATAACAGTTTAGAGTGGCAGCAGTAAACAAATAATGAACTATTAGGAGCTTCAAAACTCATGATTTGATAGTGAATTTTAACATGTTGCATGTGTTATCTTACTCAGGATTTTTTTTAATCTCGATTTTTCCTTTCTCATCACAGGTGAACTGTATGCGGTTGCCTGTAGCCCAACAGATCCAGTATTAGTGGCAACTGGGGGTGGGGACGATAGGGGGTTCCTTTGGAAAATAGGTCATGCTGATTGGGCTTCTGAACTCCAAGGTGTGACCATGATACAAACATCTCAAGGCTTTATTCTTATAGCAATTAATAAGTTTTTGGTTGAAACCAAAACTTCTTTCTTGTTCGTCCCTTACTGCCAAAATGTGAAAATATAAACATATTTACCTTTTTAGCTTTTTTCATTTCTTTATTCTTCTACTAAACGTCTAGTAAATGCTTGTGCAGGCCATACTGATTCAGTCTCTAGTTTAGCCTTTAGCAATGATGGACAGTTACTTGCATCTGGAGGGTTTGATGGACTTGTTAAAATTTGGGATACATCAGGAAATCTGAAATGCACGCTTGAGGGTCCAGGAGGTGGCATTGAGGTGAAACCATAAATTCTAGGACATGAAGTCCTCTTGTATTATTATATTTTGAAAATTTTCATTTAAAGTTAAATTAACTATGTGCTTGTTACCTGTTAGTGGGTCAGGTGGCACCCAAAAGGACATCTGATCTTGGCGGGATCTGAGGATTGCACTGTTTGGATGTGGAATGCTGATAACGGGCATTGTCTTAATGTATTCTCAGGCCATGGAGCCAGTGTGACTTGTGGTGATTTTACCCCTGATGGTACTAACTCTTCATTCTATCCTATTAGAGCATTTGGTCTGCCTTTTCTTTTTAGCATCTCTTTCTGTTTACAGGAAATTTAATAAATATTATGTCATTTACCCAGGCAAAACAATATGCACTGGTTCTGATGATGCTACCTTGAGGATATGGAATCCAAGAAGAGTTGAAAGCATTCATGTTGTAAGAGGTATTCATCCGGAACCCAAATTGAAGTGTCATTATTGAGACCCAACCTGAATATAAGGTTACAGCTAACTCTAAACTTAGTCAATCTGAGATAACACTATTGAACATATTTGATGGAAAGCATGCTTGAGATCAAGAAAAGACTCTAAAGATGATATGCAGTTACACCACAAAGCAGTGGAATCTTCACATGCCAAAGTTAGTGATATAGCCTGAAATGCTGCATGATGGAATTTTCAACAGATACCCATTATAGGATCCAAAACAGCTAGCTCTGTTGCAGTGGACATTTCTCAGAAAGTGTTTATTTCACTTTCCGTAAATTTTTGGACAAATAGGGCTGTTGCCACTGGTAACAATTTGGCTCAATTTAAACTGCCCTTTATACATGCTGACATGGAATAAAAACTTTTCTATATTATCACTACACATCCATTTTATTAATACATTTCTTTTTCAAGTTTGTAAACACAACCTGTAGTACTAGAATGTTTTTGTTCAAATGTTATAAAATCTGGTTAGAAGGGAGGTATTAGCAGCACTTTTTTGTTGACTAGTCTCATTTAATTTGTAAAAGGAGTTAATATTATTTTATTTGCACTCCTTGTCACAGTTTTCTTTCATATTGTTGATAATAAATCTTCTTCTCTGTAGGTCATCCATATCATAGTGAAGGACTGACATGCTTGTCTATAAGTTCAGATTCAACTTTTGCTGTTACTGGTTCAAAGGATGGTTCTGTTCATGTCGTGAATATCACAACCGGGAAGGTATGACTTCCTGATGCAACTTAAAGAAAATAGATAGCCTAACACCAAATAAAGGCAATAATTTTTGGATTTTCTTGAATTTGTTTTTTAGCATCTTATTTTTCTACTTAGTTTCATCTTGCAATGGAGATATATATATATATATATATATATATATATATGCTACCCCTTCTTTTCCCCAACTACAACAACCAAAAATATAATTTAAGTGATGCTATATGATTTAATATTTCTTAACAGTTTCTAGCCGAAGATAAGTACTAGTAAAAGCTAATTGTTTAATACGGAATTATGTGATGTTTGCGTTGCTGGCATTGAATTTGAACTGTAACATTCTAATTCTTCCTGTAACTACTCCATTTTAAAGGTAGTTTTAAACAAAAATAAGCTATCAACTTCTTTTGTTCAATTAGTTATGTGCTTTGATGCATGAGTGCAAAATTTATGCCCTATTTCTTCACCTTTTCCTTTTGAGGGGGTGCATGTAAAGGGTGATGATAGGAACCTTGTAGGATGTCGCTGTCTTGACCTATAACTAGATTCAGTTTTATAGTATTTTGTTGCATTGGTTTAATATGCTTGCAAATGTTGTCACCAACACAGGTTGTTAGTTCTTGGCCTGCACAATCAAGTTCAACTGAAGGGGATCCAGAGTCAATTGAATGCGTTTCATTTTCACCAAAGTATGTAGATAATCTCTGTGTGTGTGAGCGCACATGCATGCTTTGACAAGAGAATTTCTATTTGTTAAATAAGTTTGAATTCAGATCATGAAAATTGTTGAGAACTGAATTAGAGCGTTGAAAAAAGATAAAATATGCTGTTGATACTCCCCACTCTGAGGAGAAAATAATATTATCAAGTGGAAGGTCTCAAAAGATAATCAATTAGTTATGTGCTGGCAATTAAGAAATGAGAAAGACCACCTTTTTTTTGGGTAATGAGACAGTTTTCTATGATGAATGTGAAATATGTTCTCCATATAAAATGGTTAATTTGAAGAGAGTCTAATTTGTCGAATCCCAATAGTGGGTCTTTTACCATTTTGAATGTGGTAGCCTGGTTTTCATTAGAGATTTATTGTTTTAGAAATTTTGGTGAATGTTGTGATTTTATCACAATTACACTATCAATCAATCTGATCAAATGTGCTGAACCTACTTGAAAAACTGAGAGAGAAATAACTAAACCTTAAAAAGTTCATTGACGAGATAAAAGAACTCCTAGCAAGCACATTCTTAACATTCTTATGGCTCAAACATAAAATAGGGAAGCATGCAAATATGAAAGTCTTGCATGGGTGTCTTTGTCTGTACTGTTTCTTGTCTCAGAGAAGATAGCACATAAACCACACAAAATGGCCCATGCCTACTTATTTCACCTTGTTAAAATTTTCTGTTTGTATGATTGGTTTGACCTTGTGTTAAAATTATACATGGCAGCTTCCCCTGGGCTGTTTCTGGTGGCATGGATGGAAACCTTACCATCTGGGATGTACAGCACTCATCGCTGCGTTTCATATGTAACCACAAGGTTAGTAGACTTGTTTCGAAAATGAAACTCATACTAATATTTTACACACTAATAATTGGTCTATGCCTCATGGTTAGAATTAGCCACGGTTAATTTAATAAGGTTTTATCATCTGGTGAAACTAAAAGAGCTTCATGCTTGTGCAGGAGGGAGTAACATGCTTGGCTTGGCTCGGAGCATCCAAATTCTTGGCTACAGGGTGTTGTGATGGGAGAATACGCCTGTGGCATTGTCTCTCGGGGGAATGTGTAGAAACCTTGAAAGGGCACGAACATGCCATCCAATCTCTGTCTGTATCTTCCAATCTAGAGTTTCTTGTTTCTGTTTCCATTGACGGCACTGCACGTGTATTTGAAATTAGAGATTTCCATTAATGAAAATAAGCTTCCGAGATTCTTATGGGGGTTACAAACTAATATAATTTGTATTCTTACCGTGAGAGGAATTGTTACTTGTATGTACTCCGATATACTTTTACACTTGTATAGGTTTTTTTTTGTTGTGGAAGGTTTTTATTTACAAGTTCGAGATTCATTTTATCTTTTAATGACGTGAGATTCATGGCATGTTATGAGTCTTCATTTTTAACTTACATTGGAGGAATACTCTTACTTATAAGTTCAAATTGTATATATTTTTTACTGGTATGAGATTCATTATGTTTCATTATGTTTCGTTTCATATAAACGGTTTTGTTTTGTTGATTTTTTTGCTTTTAAAAGAGAGAAATTAATTTTGATGGGAAGTTTCACATTAATAAAGAGTTGGGTAAGTTCATTGATCACGAACTCAGTTTCAATTCAAAAATGTCTATTATTAAGTGAAATCTGAATAGTAATCCTAACCAGCTTCCATTGACTATGACATTTTGTAACATCAAAATTCTATACTAGTAAAAATATCTTGCAATTATTTGGAGCATAATAGTGCTAAACGGTTAACTAGCCCTCTCTTCCATGGTTTGTTCTTCTCTATGTAATACAAGCTGAGAATGGTTTGATAGCCATTATAATTCCCACTCCTACATATGCAAGTAATCTCAGGAAAAAGTTTAAAAAAAAAACACAGAGGAAGTTACATTTGGCCACAGGCACAGCATGTGTAAAGGACAAAGTAGGTGATGGTGACGTTCGGCAGGAGAGCTTGTCTCCAAGATGATACTGGAGTGGCAGAGGATTTTGACCAGTCAAAATAGTTGAAGCAAGAAGAGGGATTGCATTACAGCCAGAGCAGGAGAAACCCAGGTAGATGCATATTTCATTGTCTTATATGCTTTAGTGGGTCCACTCCAGATTGGACTGCAGGCTTTGGGAGTTACTTTAAAACACTCAAAAAGACACTGTCTATCTATATAATGCTTATTAGTCTTTGTTGAATCCCATCACCATCTTTCTCAATCTTCTGAACAAGGGGTTTTTGTGTTGGAAGATGAGGAAGGCTCTTGCTCTGCTGTCTCTCCTGGTTATCCTCTCACTAACCTTACCCTTAGGTCCCTTTCTCTTCCTCTGTCTCTTTCTTGACTGCCTTTGCAAGGAATGGTACCTAGTCCCCATGCCCATGGTCAAAATGACAGCATTAGCATAACTGCTGACTGCATTCCCCTGGCATGACTAGGGCGTGAATTGATTTCATGTTGGTGGGTTTTGGCAGGTGTGGAGTGCTACAAAGGGTTTTATGGGCATCATGGGATTTGCTATGACAAATTCGATATGCTCATGGAGCCGCATTGCAACAGTGGAACATGCAACAGGCTGTGCGAATCCAAAAAGTTCGATAGGCTCTATACAAGGAGGTGTTTGGATTCTATCACTTGCGAATGTACTCACCGCTGTCGTCTTCCTTAAGAACCCCCCACCCCAACCGCCTGCCTTCATGCCACCACCAAACCCTACCTCACTTACTAGTATCACTTGAAAATGTGGTCTACTATATCTATATGGAAAAATGTACTACTTTTTTCCAGGCAGGAAATAAACTAATAAAAGTTTGCTTACCCAATTTTGTATGTTTTCTTATTTATTTTCCCGCTCACTTTATCCCAAGCATACACTTGAAATTGTGTTGTTAAACTTCGTACAGGCTCTGCTTGCCATGAATAAGTAGTTGTTTATTTGGATAAATCACTACCACTCTTGGGTTTTGATTGTTTATTTGGATAAATCACCACTAATCTTCAGTTTATATTATAATTCACTTTTGATCTATTAGTATTGAGAATGAACACTTTTGTCTTAGAGCCTCAAACGCATTAACGAGTTTTATAAAGTAATTAAAATATTCAAAAAAAAAAAAAAACCCCCCAAAGCTATCTTCGTCTGTACGGTAGACACCGGGCGCGAGGAGAGGGATGGAAATAGGCATGGTCCCCCATTGATTAACTTGTTTGGTGTGGTTATGGGTAATAGACCTGAATCCTAATGCCTTTGTTAACTCTTACGGTGTGTCTACATCCATGATCCATGTATTAGGATTTGTTCAACAAAACCAGTCTGTTTGAACCATATATAGATCATAGAACGTGCCAAGAGGTGTAGAACTACCAAATTAAATACATGAAAGACACACATACTTTACTATTTCAGTATTCATCACATCAACACCAGATGCAGGTCAATGAGTAGAGATTAAAAAGGGGGAACATGGGCATGCACTATCGAAACCAGTACACAACTGGGAAGTATGCAAAGAGTAGTAGTACATCATGAGTTTTCTCCATCGCCCTCTCTCTCTCTCTCTCTCCAACAGCTCTTCGAAAAAAACAAAAAGAATACCAGACCCCTATGCCAGGCGTCTCTCTTTCTGCTCCATTTGCTGCAAAATCCCACGCATTCATTCATTGCAGCTTTGGGTAAATGATATCTATCATCTCCTTTGGATCAAGGCATTAATTTTTAGAGAGGATGGTAAGGCACATAGCCCAACAAGCCCGTTACGTTCGTCACAACATCATTGCACCTTGTCAGAAGGCTTAGCATCTGCTGTGAGATATCTATGCTTGCTGTACCGGGTGGGATGGTTTGAGTATTAAGATTGTGAGAATTTCTGGGAGCTACTTCTGTGTGATGCAAATTATTAGCTGGGGCTTTCCCATATTGGGGAATGGGATGGATTGGAGAGGGGGATGACGATGGAGGAACAACGACCTTTTGAAAGTTCTTACTATTAAATTCCATTGCAATAGAAGTTGCACCACCATCAGCGAAACTAGCATTGTTGTTGAAGTTGTTTCTATACCAACCATCAATTGCTCTCCCCTACTAGTTTCCTCCCCACCCAACATGAATTTTACACGGGCCGTCCCTCTACCTCCATTACCACCACTTCCCTGCCCTGCCTCATCAGCTGTTGGCTTCTTCAAACAGGACTTCAGCTGGACTGCTGATTGTGCAAGAGGCTGGTGTGAAGTACTGGTGCTGATCTTTCAACTGCAGGGTCCTTAACTCGCATGGTTTCACTAGCAGTATCATCTCCCCGTCTTATCAAAATCTGGTACTTCAACTGCAGGAGCTTCCACACTTCGAACATGGTATCTCACATTCACATTGCCAAATAGGGAATTATTTCCATTAGCATATCTATATGCTGCCTGTGCATCAAGCTTGTGTCTGAACACAACACGGCATGTTGAGGACTTCCAAAACACACGGATAGCAGACTGATCTAATGACCCAAATCGACCAAATCTTGCCTTCAGTTCTGCAACTGACGGAAGTGATACCTGAGGAGGGAACTTCATTACCAGCATTGTAGGCTCAACAGCCCTAGGTGGAGGCTCCATTTTCCTTGCAGAATCTGTTTTTTTGAGTGGTCTTGCTGGGGGCCCTGCAGTTGGTTGTTCTTTTCCCTCCACTTTTGGAGCTTCCATTGTCCTCGAATTGGCCTTCCTCTCTGCAGCTAATGATTTCAACTGACTAATTTTTTTCAACCTCTTCGCAGCAATTTCTTCTTGACGATCAGATGGGAGACGTTTCCGTCCAGCTTTTGTTGGATCATCAGGTCTGCCAAGGGGTCTCACTGGTTTTGAAGGAGTTGAGTCTCTAACATTCTCATTGGGAAGGTTATCAGAGGATCCAACAAAAGGAGGTTTAGTGCCACGAACTTCAGCAGGCTCCATCTCAGATGGTGGTGACAGAACCAAGCTTTTTTGGTAAACAAGTGCTCGGAATCGCAAAAAGAACTGCCGAATAATGGTTGGACTATTTCTTTCCACAGCAAGAGAGGGATCAAGAGCCAGGGAATGCAAATCACTAAGTAATTGTGCAAGTTCAAGCCCAGAATTTCCCAAACCAATTGTTGTGGAAGCCCCAACAGAATTGAATGATGAATTTGCAGGACCATCTTTCTTCGGATGGTTTACCTGAGACTCTTCTCTAGGACCAAAACTGGTCTGGGCAGCTTTTGCCCCACCTTTTCCAAGGACACAAGGCTTCTGTGGATGATCAGAGTTTGTTTCTGGGCCAACCTCTTTCTTCTTTTTCTTCTTTTTCTCTCCCCAAGTAGAATTCTCGGAGCCTATATCCACTGAAGGCCGTTTTTTCGCTTTCTTCACCCCACCCTCAGAACTCAAACCACCAGAGTGCTTTACATCAACCAGGACAGGATGCCCACCAGTGCAACCATCTTGAAATTGATCTATCCCTGGCCTCCTTCCAGTTTTGCCGTGAAGCCCAGATCAGGTTTCTGACCACCTTCAGACAATCTGGATAACTTTCCACCATCCTCAGGTTTAAGATCAAACATAGCATCACCTTCCCGCTGAAAAGACGCCAATGCACCATCAATTTTATTCAGAGATAGCTTTCCATTTACAGCAGTACAGTTTGCTGAAGTAAGGTTTACAGTTACAACTTCGTTGCCAGATAAATCTCCACTCGAATTTGCACCATCCCTGCTCAAAAAGACAGTCTGCTCTTGTTTCAGTGGAATCTGAGACACGGGAGTCCTCTTCTGCAAAAACATAATCTCCGGCTAGAAAAGTTGGTGATCCCTCTGAAAGTAGATTGTATCAGGGAACTAGCTTGCCCTTGGCCAATTTGAGGGCTTGCAAGTCACTCGTTTCATCTCTTCGCTTGAACAGATATCTGTCTTTCTTTGAAAGGTCCTTAACTTTCATGAGCCTTTTAGAACTCTTCCCACCACCCAAGGCTTCTGCGATCACCAGTGGACCACTCAAAGGAGCTGGAAATGGCAAAAAAAAGAAAGTAAAATCTCATAAGAACAGAGACATGGCAGTGTTCACAGCTAAACAAAAATAACCAGAGGTTTATCCCAGCAAATATTATAATTGGATAGCTGGATGTAGAGGGACATGAAGACTTCACAGATCACTCTTGTATAATATCAATAAACATAGTCATTGATGAATAAACCATAGAGAAACCTCATACCCAACTTTTTGTTTCTTTGGCAGTTGTTCATTAACAAAATACAAATTGACAAAAGACCTTCATAGTTATGGTGTAAAAAGGAGACCTACACATCAATTAAAAGGCTAAAAATCCAAAGAAAAGCTGTTGCAGCACCAAGATCATAAGGAAACCAGTATATATTATTGTGTCCTAAGATGACCCTTCCAATGAAGAGCAGTAGAGACCATTTCCAGAAGAGTCAATATAAAA